GTTTTTTTAATATACTTAGCGTCGACCTAGTCATTTTGTGTTCCCAAAATATCCTTCTGGTTTGGATACCGAATATAATAGAGGAGTCCACTAACAAGAAAGCTTGAACTCTACAAAAACTGTCCAAAGTAGTCCGCTCCTCGGTTTTACACTCTTGGTACTTCATCGACAACACACCTACTTGCGTAGAACCAAGTATATTATCACCCTTTGATATTTTCTATAACACTGACTGTAGTTCGAATTTTTGGACTTGTTGACCAGAGGATTGTCAGGAAGAGTTGCTCAATACTGAAAAATTTTTAAATATTAAAATTGATTATTTTGTTATTGAAATATATTTGTTTAAAAATATTAGTATAATTTTTGTATTTTGTAAGTATATAAAAGTTATAATTTTATATTAAATAATACAAAAAACTTATTGTTTTATAAAAAGCAATTTTTATTTAACACCTATATATGAAATACAGATATATTAATAACTCAAAATTTTGTTTATAAAATCACTTTTCAAGTTCTAACAAAAAAGGTTATATAAAATTTTATTATAAACTACTCTAAACTCTAATCTAATCTTTAATCTAATCTAACCTAACCTTAATTTGATTTAGTTTTTTTTTAAAATTTTATATTAAATTTTTTTATAAATTATATCTGTGTTTTATACACAGATATAAATTAATAAATTTTCTTTACAAAATATAGATAATTATTTGTATTAACTTTTTTATATATATAATTTTTATTAAAATTTAAAAAATTTTTATTAGATATTTTAATTTAAAATTTAAAAACAAAAAATTTAATTAAATTATATTAAAGATAAATTTATTTGTAACAATCTGTTATATAACAACCTTAAAAACTAAGTTTAAAAATAGATTCAGATTAATTATATGATTAAAATATAAACAAATTAAATTATAATAAATTATTACATATAAATTTTATTTTAGTACAAGTATCTTATAAGTTAATTTGCATTAAAATTATTATATTTTCTTATAATTAATATACAAAACCTAGTTAAATGCATTTATAGCAATATATGATCTAAAATTAAAATTATTATAATATCTACTATAATTTACTATTACAAACTTACATACTATATTAATATATAGTATATAAGCATACCAAGATGTAGGTGATATTATTCAAACACATAATAATCTATAGAAAATTAACCAATAGTGAATCACAATTTGGAGTAATATTACATGATCAAGAAGATTCAAAACAAATGTTTGTTTTGATAAAAATCACTATTATTTCAAAAATTTACATAAAAACCACTATTTGTGCTCAGCATGACTGAAGTTCTACTTATGCATAAAGGTTACACAAAAATTATTATATAGAGAATATATAAAAGCATATAAAATTAGTATCACGAGAAATGTACTAAAAATTTACCGGTTTTGTAAAAATTTTTACTAGCCTATTTCTTAGTAGCTTCGCAAACACACTGTAGCGACCCATCTCTAAGATCCGTAATGTATGCAAGGTTTCTTAAGTACAAGTTTTCTTATAGTAAACGATCTTTCAAATTTAATATTTATGCAAAACTAATTTCAAATCGGTTTACAAAAACTAGCAAAAGAACTTAACTAGAGTTACGACCCAAACTATAATTAGTTAGAATCATAATAACATTTAATAAGCTTTGCAAAATGTTTTTAATTGCTGCGTAATTGGGTAACAAATCGATAGAGTATTGATTTTTATTAAGGATTTTTACTTTTCTAAAAATTCGTAGGCATTTTTATATGAATTTCAAAGAAAACTTTTACTTTTATAATTGTTTTTCATTTATTGTATCCTACCTAATCACTAAATCACTTTTCTAACTAAAATGAAATATTTATTTTGAGTTTTGATTATTATCTCAAATGAAATAGGAATCCCGGTTTCCAGACCAAACTATATAATATCATGATTCAAAAAAAAAGTTTGAATCCAACTCTAATATTTACCATAAATCAATTTGATTCATTTCGGTTGTAAGTTTAGACAAAATGTCTAATGAATCATCAATCTTCTTAGAATTATCTTCCTCCCCATCTGTATCATCGTCAGTAGTATCATCACTATCAACAAGATCCTCCAAGGTAAATGTATCTATTCCTTTTTCTATTCTTTTTAAAAATGAGTCAACATTTTTAACAATTCCTTTTTTATAGAACTCCTCACAATATATACATCTTCCACTATAGCAAATCGGATGGTATGCGTGGCCACAAATCAATACAACGCCATTATCATCAATGAAAGAAAGTTTACAAGAATCACATAACCCAGGTAACGGCGGATAAGCTGTGCTATATGCTGTAGGTAAGCATCGTAAATCTACTTCTTTTCCTAAAGTTGCAAGATAATAAATTTCTGATTGTTTTTTTTTTTTTTTTGTAATTTTTTCGGTGGTTTGTTTAACGACCTTTTTGGTGAGTTGTTTGACGGCTTTTTTGGTGGGTTGATTGATGGCCTTACTGGTGGATTGTTTGACGGCCTTATTGGTGGATTGTTTGGCGGCCTTACTGGTGAGTTGTTTGGTGGCCTTACTGGTGGGTTGTTTGGCGGCCTTGCTGGTGGGTTGTTTGGTGGCCTTACTGGTGGCCTTACTGGTGGGTTGTTTGGCGGCCTTACTGGTAGTCTTTTTGGTGGTCTCCTTTGTATTTTTTTTGTTGTTTTTTTTATTGATTATTTCATTGGTTTCTTCATTGAGTTCTTTGTTTATTTCTTTATCGACTATTGGCTTACTTTGTCCACAATTATAGAACATACTTTGAAAATATTGTATTAAAAAAAGGCTAGTTTTGTTGTATAAAAATTCAAGTGCTTTAGAATTGTATGGATATCGTCGCACTTTACAATAAGTATTTTTAAATGTAGGATCGTGATTCACTATAAATTAATAAATAAATATTTTAAAATCATTATTATTATTATTATTATTATTATTATTAATCAAAAGATTAAAATAGTATTACTAGTAACATAGGCCTGTTTTATAATGCTATCGGCTGTTGCATTTGGAGAAGTATTTGCTCGAATTCGACTATGTGTGTTTTCTACATAATAATCGTTAAATGCTACCAAATACAACTTTAGTGTATTATAAAAAGGGTGATTAGTATCTTTCCAATAAAATAGGTTAGATAAAAATATAAGGGGTGCTTTATTGTAATTCTTCCGTTTCCAACGTAAAGCAAATGTCCAGATTCGGAATACTGTCTCTACATATTCATCGAATAAGCCTGAACGAAATAGAGTTGCATAAACGTCAAGTGTTGCTGGGATTAAATTGTCAAGTAAATCAATTATGTCCAGTATTCAATGTCTTTACAAGTTCGTCCAAATTTTTCTATAATTTTTTTTTTAATTTTGATCTACCCATTTCGTGCAAGATCTAACAGGAGATTTACTCGCCATGAACGAGGTTTTTTTGCTAATTTTTTACGATCTCCAAATACAAAATGAAATAAATTTTCAAAAAAAAAATAATGTACTAATAAAACCTGTTTACGACTATTCAATGATAAATGGAGCGGGCCCAACATAGGCAAAAATGGCTCAATTTCACGAGATAGCATTTCTGTATATAATGCCTTCCTAATATATATCTGACCAGGCCAGTCAGCAACAACTGGTGCAACTTGTTGACTTAAATTTTCATTCATTGATAAAATAAGCTTCAGTGCATTGAAATAATCTTGAACAGAATGCAAATTTTGCTCTCTAAATCCAACTAATTGAAGCCCATTCATAGACCGTTCTTCTTTTCTTTCCACAATATTATCATTATAAATGTGCACAGTCAATGCTTCTACTTGATCAAATTCATTAATATTTAAATGTTTTTTTAAAAACCAATAAGACTGATGATCTAAATATGAGACATCAAATATCCCAGTATATTTATGAATCAAGTACCAATATACTCTCCATGCTTCAACATTTGACGGATTGTGAATTGATATTTGATCAAACATAAGCGGCACAGAAGGGGATTCTATAACAGGTTTTGCTACACATGTGACGAAATGCTTTGCACTCGATGTCGAGACAGTATCTGGTCTGCGAATTTCATGAATTGCATGATAGTCATCCACATTATATACATGAAGCCTATTTTTCTAATAAAAATATAAAAAATTAAAAAAAATTTTAATAAATATAAGCTTATATATAAAATATACATATTAATTTTATTTAATATTTACATTTTCTATAAAATGATTTTTAACTTTTATAATATATTCTTTTTTTTTTTTCGAAAATCATTCACTGTTTTAGCACATGCAGAGTAACCAAGACTTGCCATCGTATCAATAGCCTCCCATGTTGCACCTGACACCATTAAATATAGGCCAACCTCCAGCTTATGTTGATTAACAAATTTGTTTCGCAAACCTGCTATCAAGTAGCACAACCCAACAGTCGATTTTTTAGCTTCATTCACATTGTATGCAGAATGTTCTTTGGGAACGATTAAATTCACCATAAAATCAAAAAAACCTTCAAGTTAAGGTTCCGCTTCAATCAAAATTTTAAATTTTAATGGATCTAATTCCAAATTTGTATGCTCTTGACGTTGCTGACAATATAGAACCTTTGTTAATGCTTGCATCTTCGAAGTAAATGTAGAGCCTTATTTAAATTAAATTAAAAATTAATTATATATTAAAAAAAAAAATAAAGTAAAATAAATAATATGTAACCAAAAATTATATTGTACTTGCCTGTATTATTATTATTTGAAGGTCCTATCGGTTCTAATATTTTTTTCTTTTCTTTTTGGATTGCTAGTTTTTTTTTATCAAGTTTCCGTCTTCGTTCAATTCTATCAGCCTCTACAATTTTACAATAGTGGGGATGGCAAAGTTGCTTTCCCACACTAAGATATGGATATTGTTTTAGTATTTGTTTTTCACAGCACTTTTTGTATGCGAGTTCAGTAATTACACGATATCTAATATTAGAATTAGTGCAATTAATAACTGCGCATGGTCCATAATTTTTTTGAGGCCTCATTTTATCCTTTAATTATAACTATATTCCTAATTTAATA